CTACCTGCAATCCAAGGCCTGAAACATGGCTGGCTCTCCCAAGGTTCTGCCTCAAGCTGGGCTGGGATGACAAAGTGACAGCCACTCTTTCCTATCAATTCTTCAGTTGGGCAACAGTTTCTTTTAAGTCCTAATTGAGATTCTGTTTAATGCTAGAGGTACCTTTCCGCTGATCAGAAGCATCTGGAAGGTGTATTTCTTTTTGTAGTTTCTTAAGTGGAAAGAAGCACAAAGGATAAAAAGTACTAACCCTCCCCCATTCATAGGACTTTCCCAAATTCATAGACACCAACAGAGTCAAAGGCAAGCCTGGCCACCAGGGTCAGAAAACAACAGGCATTCAGGTCTAACATCCTTTAAGCAGCAAGAAGATGCAGTCCTTACCACTACCTATAACAGAAGTCACAACTCTATACAACAAAATCACTATTTATGCCATTAGTAAGAATCCAACCATTTTATCACCTTCCTGTGAGTACAACATCAACACAAGGCAGCCAGCATTAAATTCAAGCTAGGTAAACAGTTAAACATCATTTCTAGGGTCTGGGGAGATAGCTCAGTAGAATAAGCGCTTGCCTGGCAAACACAAAGGCCTGAGTTCAATCCCTGGTTCCACCAAAAAAAAAAATCATTTCTAAAACATTCACTGAAGGCGCTAGGCTAATACATATGGAAACAGCAACTAGTCCCCAAAGTTCCAAGCAAGTTCACACTGCTGAGTATTAGTGTAGACCCAGGTAGGCACACCTAGAATCCCAGCACCCTGGGAGGGTGAAGATCACAAGTTTGAGCCCAACCTGGGCCGGGGATGTTGCTCAGTGCAAAGGCCCTGAATTCAACTCCTGAGACTGGAAAAAAAAAAGTCTTAAAAAGCAGCAACCAGTCCCAACACTGGGGCTCCTATTGGTGCTAAAAGCAAGAGTCACCTGTGTTATAGTTGGGACTACTCAGCCCGCAGATCCCAGGTGGACTAGAAAAGCTATAGGAGGGAGGGAAGAAAGAAGACCAGAGGGGCCTTTTCAAAAAAGGCCAGCAAGATCTACCGCAGAGACGCATTTTAGGTGCACTTTCCCTAATACCAACAGATAAAGCAGTACTTTAAAACAGGTGTAAAATGGGGATTAAAAAAAAAGCTTTCTGTGACTTAAGATGCTTCCGTCTCATGTTGAATTTATTTCTTCATATCACATTTCATGGGCAAAACTTTTAATCACCCTTTTCTGAAAGGCCATTATCCTCTGTTTATGAAAGCTTTCCTCAAAAACGCAGATTATTAGGAAAAGGAAGCATTCCCTCCCTAGCAATCCAAAAGACCACCTTCTAAGAAAACTGTGGAAAGGAGACGGCCCAAATTTCCAAGGCCGGCCAGGAGGGTGAATGCCAGTGCGGGTTCCAGGGTTCCATCCTGGCTGCAACTCTAGCCGGTTCTGTGCTCCAGCAGTTCGGAGAATGCAGGCGAAACTGCCCCTTGGTCCCCATTGTCAACATTCCACACAAACAATGGCCTGGCTCTCTCTCCATTGTACATTCTGTATTCATTTGTGAATCCCCCCCCTTTTTACACAATTTGTAAAGCCCTTCTTTTCACAGGCTACATTCTGAAAGCCCAAGTGCAGTCATAATTTAGGCTTTCAACATTAATAATGACAGCTAAAAGCAAACTTCAGATTATGCCCAAACATTAATTTGTGAATATCATTACAGTCACACTGATGGCTTTTGGATACTCTCCATTAAATCATGATCAAAAGAAGCACTGAACACCTTAAAAATGGTTCTGAAGTTTTTAGCAATTATTAAATATCATTTTTCAAACCCAGAGATTTTTAAAGTCTTTGATACATATTCCATCAAACCCAGACTCAAATAAAAATTTCAAAAGATAAGGGAGGGGGATGAGAAGGCTTGCATTTTCCCCTGCTTTCCAGGGTGCTGTAACTTTAACTTGCAGCTTAGTAAATTAGGACATGCTTACCAGCTGTAAGGGGGAAAACTGATCCGGCCCAGGCCGTGCAGCCTAGGAGAGTTGACCCATTCCAGTATTCATGTGCCTAAAACTTTGCAGTAGGCAAAGTCCTTACAAACATTCCTCAGCTAGCAACCTATGGGAAGATTCTTGGGGGGGAACAGGATACCCCGATATTTCACCAAATGGTGTCCCGTCTGTTAAATACAAGGGCTTCTTTGTAAAAGATCTGACAAACTGCACTCCCATTTTTTAATTGCAACAAAAATGTGTTCTACTGTCTGTAATGGAACTATCACTTCAAGGTAGAAATATTACCCGAGTTGCGCCCTGCCCAACAGATAAATTTACCTTCCCAACTGTGTGCAGATGAGTGGCCTGTACCAAGGACCTGGGACAGCTGGGCAGCTGCTTTGCAGTGATGGAAAGAAGATTAAGAGGAGGAGCTGGGCTGCACTCACAAACATCCAGATGACAGCCCCTCTAGGTTGAAGTGACAGTAGTAAACAACGGGGGCCACCGTTCTAGCATGGCTAAAAGCTCTTTCAATTTTTTCAATTTAGGGAAAGCATTAAGTGCAAAAGATACAACTTTTTTTTTTTTAAAGATATAACAGTGTCTCAAAAATGATTCACGAAGCTAGCAATCTGTTGGCAAATGGCAGGTGTGGTGCGAGATCCCAGCAGGCCTGAGTGGTGTTCTTTTCCTTCTGGAGGATTTCATAGAAGATGAGCCACCCTGAGCTCCCTTTCCTTTCCTATTTTACAGTCCCCAACAAAACCATGTTTAAATCCGGTGCACTTCTCAATCAGTACACAATTTATACACTCACCACCTGTTTACCTTGTAGCTAGCTATTCAGAAGTATGAAAAAAAAAATGCAGGTTGGTCTTGTAGTTTTTTGTTTGTTTGTGATTGCTATTTGTTGCACTTAATCCCTCATTAAAACACTTTAGAGATTTAGGAGTAAGATTTCTGCTTGGAGTTTTATAAAGTTCAGAGTTAAGTTATTGATTATTCCCTAGAAGGATAACCGATAGACTAGTTAATAATTATTCAGCTAGCAAGTTTTACTGTTTCATCTCATGTACCAGGTGAGATTAACAATGCCACAGAAAGCAAACTAGACTCAGCAGGGACAGGAACAGGTGTGCCCGAGTCTTAAGAGGACAAAATATCTCACAAAGTATGTCACTGGTGTGATTTTACAATAGCAGTAGTGTTTATTTTAAGTAGCCAAACGTTTTTACTTTCTTAGCTTTAAAGAGACACACACTGCAAATATTTCTTCTCTGAGTCAATGGCTATGTCCCACACATATATTGTAACACATGCCTAGCAAGGAAATGCATTTTGGCCACAAAGAAATTTTTTTTTAATCATTTTTTAAAGGTACTTGACCCCCTCCCCAACACCCATTCATGGGTCAGTTTCAAAGATCTCAAGTAAAATCATAAGTAACTCACAGGGCTCACCACCCTCCACTCCCACTTGTTAAGGTACCTTTAGAAAAAAGGGAGGAGGTAATACAGTCTTTTAGTCTAAGAATCTTCCCAAGCAGGAGAAAAGTAGCTAGAAAACATCTTGTCAGGTTCCAAAACAAGCTCCACGACCTCTTTGAATTCCCTCTGGCAACTGCTTTCCAAGGGCACTCAACTGGGGTCCCTACCCCAGGGGCACAAAACACCAACCAGCACCATAAATTCGCTCTGCCTTCAACCCTCTCTCCCTAGAACAAGAGCAGGGTGGGGGAGGAGGTGACCCAACTGCAGCACACTAAACCCCTCAATGCGCTACAGAAATATGCTGGCTTATTTCTTTTGTTTGGTCATGTTATACTTGATCAAGTGTGAACGATTAAACTGGTTTCATTAAAAGCAAGTGCATTCACGGCTAACATCCAACTTCAACGGCAACTGTAAGCATATTCGTCAAGAGGGAGGGCCTGCTTCGGGCTTGAAACCTACCATCTGATTAACTTTTCTTGGGGGGGGCAATAAAAAGGGCCATGGGGGAGGGTCCACTACAGTGTCAAGAGAGCTAGAAAGAGGATATTTACGGTTCTAGCTTTAAAACTGTCCCCGCTACTTAGAAAATAAAAAAGAAACCTTGTTTCAATATTAAAGCTGCGCTGACATAAAATGTTGAATTAGCATTTAAAATATTACTTTCTAATTGCATTAAGTACTCTTTGAAATCAAGTGATTATAAAAACAAGACCCCCTTCAAGTCACAGTACTGGAATCAAAAGGATTTAAAAATAGAATTCTCCGAAGTACGTGAAAACTAGCTCTACTTGGAGCAGTGTAAAGCAGAACAGCAGTCTGAGGAGCTGAACACCAGGGAAGTCTGCAACAGTCCGAGCCCCAGCACCTAATATCAAGGCTATCTTTTCTCAGAACAAGAAGATAATTGATAAACCGCGTCAAATTGCAGAATGACACTATAAACTTCCACCAAATATAACGTCCCCTCAAAATTACTCATATCAGATAAAAATATACCAGTGTCTACAATATCCAACAGAATTGCAAATAAGTCACTTAGAATTTTAAATTTCCAATGCATATTTATAGAATACAATTCTCTTGTCTATCCTTCAAGCCACTCATATCTGACTCTCTAAGAACTTAACCCGATCTCCAATCTTCAAAGAAAAAAAACGGAATATACAGATCTGTTTACCCCAGGTAGGGAAAGGGAGCCTGGCAGGACGACGTAGGCCATAGCTAGTAAGACTCCGCCACTAGCACGCTGGCAAGCCGGGCATTTCTACGAAAAATTCCTCCCTCTTCCCCTATAAAATCCTAAACGTGGGGTTTCCCCCCGCCGAGGCAACTGCTGCTTGGGCAGCCTCCGGAAAAGTACGGGGGATGGGGAGGAATAACCAGGAACACTCGCGAGTACACGCACACTCCGTGTCCGCGTCGATCGTCGCAGGCAGAAAGCGAGCCACGGGAGGCAGTGTGCGCGCGAGTGTCTAGCGCGGCCCGCGGTCACCGCGCGGAGCTCTCGGGCCCGCGGCCTGCGAATGGCAGGGCGCGGCGTGGGCTGCGCGAGATCGGCCACGCTGCCGGGCCTCCCCGCCGGAGAGGCCTGGGCGCGCCGGGCTCCCGCGCTCCTCGACCCAACTCGCCCGGGGCATCAGCGAGAGCGCGAGGGAGAGAAAGAAAGGCGCTTCCCTCGGCCGCGCTGGTCCGTCCGGCGCAGCGGAGGACAGGGAGGAGGCGCCCTCTGCGGCCCCCGGTTACCCCGGGCACGCTGGGTCCCCGCCGCCCAGGGCACGCCCTGGCCAGCCCCTCCTGCAAAACTTTTTTCTTTTTGGTTCGCCCCACCCGAAAAGTGCGGCCCGGGCGGGGGAGGTGAGGGAGGCGCGCAGGCCGGGCTGCCGGCGACGGCGGGCGGCTGGCGAGGAGGAAGTGGTGCCCGCGGGAGCGCGGCCGGGCAGAGGAAATGCCCAGCCCGCCCGGCCCCCGCCTGCCGCCCAGCCCGCCCAGGCCCCCCGCCCTGGCGCGAGTTTGGCGGGCAGAGCCCCGTGCGGCAGTGGGGGCAACCGCGGCGGCAGCAGATGTGGCCCGGCTGCCCGGAGAAGCCAACAATGCCGGGCTGGCAAAACAAAAGGGTTCCACTTCGCCTCTTTCCCCGTCTTTCACTTGCGCTCTCGGGGCACCGCGCGGGATCCCCGGCTGGCAGGGGCCGCGCCCCCAGGGGCCCGAGCCGTGCGCGCCCCGACTTCCAAGTGGACCCCCGCCTCTCCGCCTCCCCCGCCCCCGCCCCGCAGGCGCAAGGCCCGCCGCACCCCGGCGTGCTCGGACTCCCGGTCCCTAGGGATCCAGCCGTATTGTCCCCGCGGCGCGCCGCACACTCGGCCTGGGTAGCCAGTGGCCCCCGCGCACGCACCCACCGAGCTCGGGGAGAAGGACTCGGAGGCGCCTAGGAAACCGTCGCCGAGACGCCGCTGCCGCCGCTGCCCTCCGGACGCCGCTGCGCTCCGGGTTTTTCTTTCCTTTTTTTTTTTTTTCCCCAATCCTGATGGGAAGGAAGGTGACCGCCTACTTCGCATTCATCAACTCTCATCACAACAAAAATCCTGGCGCAAACGGCAGCCAGCAGGCGCAATCGGTGATGGGGGGGCGGAGACCCCCGGGGCAGCGTCCAGTCTTGGGCACTGAGGGGGGACGCAGGGCCGGGGGCACGGACCAAAGATGTCCTCGGATGCCGGCTCCGTGTCCTTCGCCCTCCTTCTGGAGTGGCGCAGTGAGGCGCGGGCACGGTGCCCCTTGCCCGCGGCCGCAGGTGGGGCGAGGGCGGCGTCGTCCCGGTCCTCCCCCAGGGTCTCCTTACCTCGTCCAGGGCCGCCGGCGTCCACGGCGAAGGGCGCCCACCCGGGAGGCGGCGGCGGCGGCGGCTCCCGCCCCTCCCACCCCACCCGGCGGCGGTGGCGGTGG